TTGAGTATTTTTTTCCCCTCACTTCTTTGGGGACTTAGTTTTCTAAAGTTAAAAATGAGAGCTACCTATAGCTCTGTTTCATTATTTATTTGTTTTTCTTTTTGGGGGTTGGGAGAAGGATGTGGTACACGTGCCTGTGGAAGTTAGGACAACATGAAAGACTCAGTTCTCTTCTTTCACCAAGTACTTTATCAAGCTAGAACTTGGGTCATCAGGCTTTGCTGGTGGAAAACCGCTTTACCTGCTGAACCATCTCACATCTTTGCCTCCTGCTGTTTTCTGCTCTTTTTAATCCTTTCCAGTTATTCTGACACCGTAGCCTTGGCAGTACTCTTGGGGTCTTTTGCCCAGCACCCTGCTTGTTCTGTGTTTAAGTCTCCCTCCCTCCAGTTTGCCCTGACTCATGCCACAGGAAGAGTCATCCCGGTACAGCCATGTCTTGTCTAGACTCTTCCCTTCCTGTCCCTGACAGTATCTAGCTAAACACACCTGTGTGAGTTGCCCAAGAGAAGCCCTGACCTCTGGTCATTTCATTCTTCGTGCTTGTCTTCCTTGTGGTGGGGAAGCCCCTCTTTTCCTGCCTAATCCCCAGCCTCATTAAGCCGTGGCATCCCTGAAGACCAGTGATTTCTCCTCTTCTTACATTCCAAGGGAAGCACTCAGTTATTCATCCTGTGATGATCAAGCCTTCTGGGCATGCAGGCGGGAGTAAAACTAGTATGTTTTTTTTTTTTTTTTTTTTTTTTTTTTTTTTTTTTTTTTTTTTTTTTAAGGGGTGTGTGCGCTCAGTTGTTCACTTGGTTTTACATTTTCTTATTCTATTAAATAGAGTATTATCTGTTATGGAGCCTTACTAATTTTCCTCAAAGAGGAACAGCCAGCCATGGTGAGCTGTCATGCTCAACGGACAACCCCAAATTCACCCTCATTAATTCTGTGGTTTGAAACTCCCTGTTGGAACCAAAGAGTCCCAAACTCAACGAATCCACTTACAAATTCCCTTCTTTCTAGACGAGGCCTTGTCCTGGTGGTTTTGATAGAAATTTCCATTTAAATACACTTTCTAGCACACTCCCTTTGGTGTTAACCTAAAACACTCCAGTTCTTCAGTGGAAATGAAGTAAAAAAAAAAAAAGAACAAAAATAATTTCTGTGTTTTCTTTAAGATTACACTAAAATCTTTCTTAAAGAGTATAATATTTGGTGATTTCTTAAAGATCACACTAGTAGCAGAAAAATAAATTAAAAAAGAAACCCATACCCTCAACAAAAAAGTTATCAAATAATTAGGAAAAGATGAAACACACTATAAATACCCTTTCTAAATTAGAAATGGAATCATCAGGGGCCCTGTACTGGGAAGGTGGTGAACCTGCTGTTACTTGGAAGGAGAAACATTTTTCCCCCCAAAACAGGGTTTCTCTGTGTAGCCTTCGCTCTCCTGGACTCTTTGTAGACCAGGCTGGTCTGGAACTCAGAGATCCACCTGCCTCTGCTTCCTGAGTGCTGGGATTACAGGAGTGGGCCATCTCGCTTGGCTCTTTCTTGTTGTTGTTTGTTTTTGGTTTTGTTTTTCATGACAGGGTTTCTCTGTGTAATCCTGGCTATCCTGGAACTTGATCTGTAGACCAGGCTGGCCTCGAACTCATGGAAATCTGCCTGCCTCTGCCTTCCAAGCCCTGGGTTTAAAGGTGTGTGCCACCACCACACAGCTTTCTTTGCCCAGTTTTAAATCATGTACCAGCTCTGTACAACTTCGCCACAGGCGTTTCACTCTTAATCAGCCCTGTATTCTAGCAGCTTTCTGTCTGTAGCGCTGGAAAGAGTCTCCCCCACCCCCCAGCTGCTAAGATTCTTATCCATTCCTTTTGCACTGAGGATGAGTCCCCTCAATTCTCACTTTGAAGGGAAGCTGGCCAGCAGCTTTCAGCTTGGGAGCCATAGAACCGTTTAGCCTAACAACCACCTTATCTGCCGCCGAGGCTCTTTACCCGTAGCCAGTGGCCCCTGCCTTCAAAGGGAAAGAATTTGGGTGTCTTTTTTAAAAAAAATTTTTCTCTCTCTCTCATGTGTGTGTGTGCGTGAGTGCATGTGTGCTCGTGAGCACGCGCACAGGGGTGTAAGCATGTGAATGCAGGTGCCCTCAGAGGCATCTGGTTCTCTGAAGCCGCCTGACACAGGTGCTGGGAACTGAACTGCAGTCCTCCGGAAGAACAGCAGCTGTTGAGCATCTCCCCAGCTCCTGTTGATGGGTTTTGATGGTGTGAAAAATCCTCTATGTTTCAACTAAGCTTTACCTGAAATACAGGGAACATGAGAGATGGCTCAGTGCCCTCCAAGGCACCTGAGTTCAACCCCTGGGAAGCACATGGTAGGAAGAAGGAACCAGCTCCTGAAAGTTGTCCTCTGACCTACACACACACACACACACACACACACACTATTAAGCTAAAAGGATTTATGGACCTTATAGGTTACCAACAGTATCTGTATTATACAAATAGTCAATAAACCCCTCACTTAATTCTTATTTTTCACTAACTGAGCTTATTGACTTAAGGAGGTAGAATTCTAGGTTTGGGTAAGGTATAGACCTCATATGATGTCCTTCAAACTCTTGTCAGATGAGCATCTACTCCGTTAAATGAAAACAGTGCACACTCTGTAAAAACAATGCAGACGTTGGCCTGGGGTAACAGCTTGGTTGATAAAGTGCTTACTTTGCAAGCCTGAGACCTGAGTTTGATCCACCAGAAGCCACGTAAAAAAGAAAAAAGCCAGTTGTGGTCCTCGGGTTTGTAATCCTAGGGAGGCAGACAGAGACGGATTCTCCGGGCTTGCTGCCCAGTTGGCTGGCATGCTCGGCCACAAGACGCCCTGTCTCAAAAAACAAGGTGGGTATCCTCGCAGGAATAGCAGTGGAGGTTGTCCTCTGGCATGTGTGGGTACAGGCACGTGTGTGAGTGACTATACACACACACTGACATACAAAGACATGCATGCACATACAGAGAGGTATGCATATGCACACACATACACTGACATACACCCAGACATGCATGCACATACACACACACATGCATATGCACACATACACTGACATGCACACACAGCTATGCATGCGCACACATACACACGGAAACACACACTGACTGACATATACACAGTGCATGCATGCACACACGCATGCCCTAGAGCTTGAGCACTCTCCCACACAAATGTGCATGCGTGCCCACACTTAGGAAGTAAGTTAAAAGAGCAGGATGCTGTTATTGTGGAGGTGGTCGTGGCAGTGATAATGGCAAGGCATAAACTCTTAAAGTCTGCTGATTTCAATGATCAAGAATCATCCTCCTGATAATACTATTAGATCTCAATTCTCGTTTATTTTTTCATCCTTCTCCAAGGCAAGAGCAGATGGGGTCAAATCGGCATAGCAGATAAGAAAACTGAGGGTCAGGAAAGCTGTACGCCCCATAGTTTGCTAAGGGGCCTCCAAAGGGGGACTCCTAAGCAGAAGACAGTATCGTCTGTACTCAGCAGCCAGCAAAGCAATCTGGGACAGCGTAGGGAAGTGGCAGGACGCATCAAGGCTATGACTCTAGCTCAGTTTGGCCAGAGTCCAAATTCTTGTGTATTTTCCACAGTGCTGTCCTGCCGCCACACTAGAGTGCTGTTACTAGAACTGACACCCCAAGCTCTGCTCAAGAGAGGGGAAGGGAAATCATTTCTCAGTCCGCTGGGGGTCTGGGGAGAGGGGCTTGTCTTTCTAGGTCCAGCCCACTGCCACTGTGGTCCAAAGGCTTCCTTGGCTCTTCTGTGGAATCTCATGCACACAGCCAGTCCCAGAGGGGAACGTGTGTTCTCAATCAGGATTTTGCCGTGGAATAGAACCATTAGATCTTATAGAGTTGGTTTTCAAGTACAGGGCTAAATCTAATCTATGGACAATGCTTGCATATCTTGCTCCCCGTTTATGTGAAGATAAACTTGATTTGCAAACTTTTGAAGAGGCAGAGAGGCATTTTCTCCCTGATTCTTCTAGTTTACGAAATTGCTGCTAAGCTGTTGCAGATTCCAAACTGAGAGCATATTGCTAATTTTTGCACGAGCAGGCAGCAAGAACCCTTACATTTTTAAAAGAATGCCATGCTGAGGAGGTCTTAGAAGCTCGTCCACAGTGTCCTGATAATGCCAGCCCTTACGTGGTAGAACAGACTCAATCCTAACTCCCTACTTTTCTTCTGGAAGCTCTCATTTTGGTCATTGTGGGAATGGCATATTTCCTGCTTCAATCCAGCACTGACAGTCTCCTGTGTAATTTTTATTCTTTTAAGTGTTTCCCACTTAGTTACTCACCAGTCTTAACCCATGTTTAAATCCCGAATGCGTATCAGTCTGAACCATTATTTTCAGTTACCATAAGAAAACCGTTACTCACAAAACCATGCATGTTGAAATCTCTGGTTTTTAAATCATTTTCTTATCAGACCCATTTTAAGAGCCTGCCACCATAGGCTTTGTCCTCTTTCTGTCCCAAATCCTCACCATGGTGGAACAGTTAATTTCCACTAAACGTTTATCTTTCTTAACATTTCTCATAGTTTGGCAAAGGTAAGAGCTGAAAACTAGAAAGTAAACTCTTAACTTGGGTTCCAGCAACAAACTTTCAAATAAATGCATGCAAGGCTCCTCCTACTCCAGCCAAAAAAAAAAAAAAAAAAAAAAAAAAAAAAAAAAAAAAAAAAAAAGCCTATCTTATCAAGTTTCTCAAAAACCTAGCCAGATAATCTTTCTTTTCCTTTGAAATGCTCTATCACTAAAACCTCCTTCACTTAACAAGAAGGGAGACACATTGTTAAATGGCTGTACATCTGTAAGGAGAGGGCAGGATGAATCCAGCTTTCCCTCCCTACTTTTGTCATAGCAGCTCAAGAACGGCATGAGGAAAGCTCAAGTGTTTGACTTTGCTTCCTCCCTTCTCTGCCCCGTCGCTCCAGGAACTTCCACAACCTACAGAACCTGAGTCTGGCTTACTGCCGAAAGTTCACCGACAAAGGTTTACAGTACCTGAACTTGGGGAATGGATGCCACAAGCTCATCTATCTGGACCTTTCCGGCTGCACCCAGGTTTGCCTCCCGGTCTCAGTGTCTCAGTGTTCTCTGCCCGGCAGCGGACGAGGTCCTCCTCCGGAGAGCCGGCTGCCTCCAGCCCTCATGCCTGTGCCGTGCACACTCATGCTGTGCATCGTGCACAGCACGGTTCTGCTGAGGTTTTAAATTACACGGCCACAGCTGCTTCGCTTCGCTCCAGGATTGCTGCTATAGGCGCCTGGCCTCCGTCCACAGGCGTGTCACACCAACAAACAGGCAGAGCTCATTGGATGGCGAAACAGACCACTTCTGAGCACAGTTAGAGGGCAGAGTCCAAATCTCCAAAACTTTATAGAGCTACAGAGATACAAACAAATGGGCTGGGGGTAGCCGGGATCCCTGACGAGTCAGTTAGGTTCCACTGTGGGTTTTCCTGTGGGTAAAATGCCACAAGCAATAAATGTGAGAAAGAAAACGCCCACAACAAGGACTGTAAATGTTTAAAACTGCATTACACTCATATGCTAAATACCATGATGATGTGAGGTCTGTGTGGGAAAATGTTTTAAGATGAAGGGACCAGGGTTAGGGAAGTTGGGCAGGAAGCCACGTGAAGCCTTGAAGGACTGGGCACAGGCCTTCAGATAGGTGCACATCCACAGTTTCTTCTGCTATCCATAGTTTTGATAGATTCAAGCTATACCTCGTGTAACTGATTTTCTTCCACATCTCTGCGTATGTTCAGATACTGATGCCCTACTATGCTCTTTATAATACAACCCAGGTGAGAACTAGCTAAAATAAATGGCCAACCACAACTGGCTTTAGTTGCCATTTATTGAGTTGTTTTGTGTTAGGTGAGGCTTACTCCTCATACAGTTGCTCGTGAGGGTTTTGTGTGGGATAAACTGGCCATTATTGTACATCTGACAGAAGCCTATGGCGTAGGTCAAGTTATAAGCACCTGGAAGTGGAGGCCACAGGGACAGCAAATGGATGGAATCCTTACACAAACACACTGCTACCCGAATGTGGTTTCCTAGTGTTCTAGGCATGAGAAGGAGAGAGAGAGACATTGGCAATGATTGAAAATGTGTAGAATGGATACTACCTTGAGACTGGCCTGCGGATGTGTGTTGATACTGACCAGGACTAAAGATGCAGGACCCTTGCTTTCCTCAACTTGGCTTAACTCATGATGGCTTCTTGACCTTGGCTATCTGGTGTCTCTTTTCTTGGAGCACTTAGTCAGAAAGCCTGGAACCGTAGGAATTGTACATTCCTTCTCTTCCTCCTTGGAGATGAAAAGCTCTTTTAAAAAGCTCTGCTATGGTTTACAACCTAGGAATGTCTTCCCCCTGGACCTGGGAGCTGTCCCTGTGACATAATCACAACAAAGAGTGCATGTCTCGTCCCCCAATTTCTAGAGAGGAGAACACTAACATATATGAGCACCGATTAGGAAACACAGACACTCCTGTCACAGAGAAAAGTATTGCTAAATACAGACATAACTTCATGTGCTCAACGAATTCCACCAGCCAAACTCCCCTAACTGTAAGTCCTCTGATGCTTTTCTAACTGCTCACTTTGGATCTTAAAAACCATCACAGTGAGCCTCACGTCCTCATTCTTAGTTTCCACGTGTGTGTTTATTGTAGCCACAACATACGACACTCCTCAGTCATGCACACACTCAGACACACTTATACCCCACATGCTTGTGTGTGTGTGTGTGCGTGCGCACACACACACACACACACACACACACACACACACACACATGCATTCTATGGGCAGGAATTTCCAGATACAGTCGAGTCTAAGCAAGAAGCTTACATCTGTGTTCTACTGCCAAACATACCTGGTCTGTCATTGAAAATTGAGCCAATGTTTAAAATTGTGAGGTTTCCACACACACATAAAAATCTAGACTTAAAAATAAGTAAGTGTAATCAAAGGCCAGAGCTCTCTGCAGAGTAGGGGTGCACCTCCCGTGTGGTAGGGGTAAGCTGGAGCTGAGTCAGCCTTCTCCCTTAGAGGTGGGGCACAGTCTCAGCCACTGCTCCTGTTCGATGATGTCTTTGTGTGTGTGCATTTGTACAGACAGCGGCACCATCTAATTCATTGCCTGTGTGGCCCAGTTGCTATTTAAATGTGGTCTGAATGTGTAGGAATAAAATTCTTGGGCTGGAGAGAAATCGTAATCAGAAAGGCTTGCAGGTGTGCCGGCCTGAGTTCAATCCCCAGAACCAACATTTATTAAAAAGCCAGGGGTGTGTGCAAGTGTGTTGACTTGGAATCTCCTCCCACGGGGAGGCAGGGAGACAGGATCCATAGGGCCTGCTGGGCAGCCAGCCTAGCTAGCCTAGTCACTGTGTGGATGGGTGACTCTCTAAACTATATAACTGTGACAATTGACCCATCCACACGGTGAATGTCAGGCCAGTAAGTCTTAACACAGCAGATAGCTGTTGAAGAACAATACTCAGTGTTGACCAATGCGCACATGGGCTCACGCATGCGCACACGTGAACACAAGTGCCCACACACATGTATGTGGCATGAACAGAAACGTGCGCACACATACACATGCACACATATATGGACACACACAGGCACGGCATCGACACAAATGGACACATTCACATACATGTGCACAGGCACACATGTGCACAGCATGAGCACAAATGTACACCCTAATGCAAATATACCCAAGAATGAAATGCTCTTCCTAATTTTCTTTATTTTGTAAACCTCAAGGCCCAAGTGTTTGTTTCTTTTATTTGTCCTTTTCCCACTTCTATCTGCTTGAGAATCCAAGAGATTTATTGATATCGGACACTAAGAACTGAACCATCGAACCTGAGCCCCATGACACCCCTCGGGGGTCAGAAAGGGGCTAATCTCCAAGTACAGATCTCAGATCTCAGGGGGAGGAGCAATGCAGCTCTGCAAAGAACCATGGGAAGCTTCATGTCTACGCCTCTGAGCAGCTGCTTCAACTCTCAGGGGTAGGTCGGCCTGTGGTGGTTTGATAGGTATGGTCACTTAGACACATGTGTTTGAATGCTTGGCTCATGGTGGGTGGCACTATTAGGAGGTGTGGCCTTGTTGGAGGAAGTGTGGTCTTGTTGGAGGAAGTGTGTCACTGTGGGGGTGGGCTTTGAGGTCTCCTATGCTCAAACTATGCCCGGTGTGACACATAGTCTCCTCCTGCTGCCTGTGGATCAAGATGAAGAACTCTCAGCTCCTTCTCCAGCACCATGTCTGCCTGCATACTGCCATGCTTCTCACCACAGTGATAATGGACTAAACCTCTGAACTGTAAGCCAGCCTCAATGAAATGTTTTCTTTATAAGAGTTGCCATGTTAAGATTGGATCTATTTGCATTTTTCTACATGTAGACATCCAGTTAGACCATCACCATTTGTTGAAGATGCTGTCTTTTTTCCATTGTATGGTTTTGGCATCTTTGTCAAAGACTAGGTGTCCATAAGTGTGTGAGTTTATTTCTGGGTCCTCTGTTTGATTCCATTGATCCACCATTCTGTTTCTATGCCAGTATCATGCAGTTTTTACTACTGTTGTTCTATAGTACAGCTTAAGATCACGGATGGAGATACCTTCAGAAGATCTTTTATTGTAGATGATTGTTTTAGCAATCCTGGGTTTCTTGTTATTCCATATGAAGTTAAGAATTTTTCTTTCCAGGTCTGTGAAGAATTGTGTTGGTAGTTTGATGGGAATTACACTGAATCTGTAGATTGCTTTTGGTAAGATGGCCATTTTTACTATGTTAATCCTGCCAAGCCATGAGCATAGGAGATCTTTCCATCTTCTGATATCTTCTTCTAATTCTTTCTTCAAAGACTTGAACTTTTTTTCATACAAGTCTTTGACTTGCTTGGTTAGGGTTACTCCAAGGTACTTTATGTCCTTTGTGGCTATTATGAAGGGTGTTGTTTCCCTAATTTCTTTCTTAGTCCTTTTGTCTTTTGTATACAGGAGGGCTACTGATTTTTTTGAGTTAATTTTGTATTCGGCCACTTTGCTGAAGGTGTTTATCAGCTGTAGGAGTTCCCTGGTAGAGTTTTTGGGGTCACTCATGTAGACTATCATATCATCTGCAAGTAGTGATAATTTGACTTCTTCCTTTCCAATTTGTATCCCCTTGATCTCCTTCAACTGTTTTATTGCTCTAGCAAGGACTTCCAGAACTATGTTGAAGAGATATGGAGAGAGTGGACAGCCTTGTCTTGTCCCTGATTTCAGTGGGATTGCTTTAAGTTTCTCTCCGTTCAGTTTGATGTTGGCTATAGGCTTGCTGTATATCGCCTTTACTATGTTTAGATATGTGCCTTGTATCCCTGATCTCTCCAATACTTTAAACATTAATGGTTGTTGGATTTTGTCAAATGCTTTTTCAGCATCTAGGGAGATTATCAGGTGGTTTTTTTCTTTCAGTTTGTTAGTTTGATGGATCACATTGATGGATTTCCGTATATTGAACCGCCCCTGCATACCTGGGATGAAGCCTACTTGGTCATAGTGGATAATATCTTTGATGTGTTCTTGTATTCGGTTTGCAAGTATTTTGTTAAGTATTTTTGCATCAATGTTCATAAGGGAGATTGGCCTGAAATTCTCTTTCTTTGTTGAGTCTTTGTGAGGTTTAGGTACCAAGGTGACTATGGTTTCATAGAGTGAGTTTGGTAATGTTCCTTCTGTTTCTATTTTGTGGAATAGTTTGAAGAGAATTGGAGTTAGCTCTTCTTTGAAGGTCTGGTAGAATTCTGCACTGAAACCATCTGGTCCTGGGCTTTTTTTGGATGGGAGACTTTTGATGATCGCTTCTATTTCCTTGGGAGATATAGGACTATTTAATTGATTTACCTGGTCCTGATTCAGCTTTGGTAAGTCAAATCGATCAAGAAAATTGTCCATTTCATTTAGATTTTCAAATTTTGTGGCATATAGACTTTTGAAGTAAGTCCTTATGATTGTTTGGATTTCCTCAGTGTCTGTAGTTATG